GGCCCTCCACATCTCCCCCTTTTTTACTTCTTTGCAGAAAGGCAACTCCCTCAGAAGGCAAAGATAGAGGTCGCATTTCCCAAAGTGGAAACATTATAATGGGCTTGCATGGAATTTGTCCCTAGGTTCATGACACCTGGAACTTATCCAGCCTGTCCTCTGCCATTTTTCTGGGAAAGGGAATATGGGGCAGGAAACCCTTACACAGGGCGACATATCTCTCAGAGAGGGCCATTCTCTGTGCGATGCTCTTCAGCTCGACAACCTTCAGGGCTAGCTAAGCCAAGCACTCCACCCTGTGCAATGGACCATTGTCCTAGGGGTGCAGGAGCTGGTTGGCATAAACCTTACTGCTTCAACATAGATAGCCACACATCAATAGAGGTTCCCTGTTCCAGGGCAGCCAGCGCTTGTGCAATAACCACTTTGTCCCTATGACTTTGGGATTTGAGTCAGCAGACCATCCAGAGGAGAAACATTATTCCACAGCATAGGGCTGCTCCAAACATTCCCACCCCCACCCATTCTTTGAAGTAGGAGATGAAGGACACAATCCAGGACTGGAATCCTTTGGCTAAGCTTATAAATCATCTCTAGGAAGGTAGGGGAGCCCCAGAGTCTTATTGGTTGTAAAAAAACGAGGAAACACCGCCATTCTATGGCTGACTGGTGTCGGCTTTGGGAAGGCTGAGAGTATCCCCCATCGCTGCTCCATCATAACTATTGTCATCCATCCGCAAAATGGCAGGGGGAACAGAAGCCAAATCTTCAGGCGAGTCCGCATGTTGTGGGTCATTTTTCACTGTTCGGGTCAGTCTCTCTGGCACTCAGAATGGGTTTTCCTGATCCTGTGGGAACACACAAACAGCTCCCCTGGATCTCAATAGAATGGGATCCGGGCCTTTCCATTCATTAGAAAGCACATCTTTCCATTTAACCAAATCCTTGGGCCATTGCGGATCCGAACAATGTCGTGTTGCCGCATTCTGGCCATTATCATCCAAATTTAAAAAATTTATAGTGAACAGAGCCATGGCAATGGCCACTCTTGGCGTTGGGGGCAACTCCTTCATTATTCCCCCTTTTTGTTTAAGTAGATAAGATTTGAGTGTCTGGCCCTTTAAAAGGGCATTTTTTGTGACTGCATGATGGCTGCAGCCAAACCTGCATTCGTCAGGGGTCCTCCTAGTTCTCTACAGACCCTGAGCCAGTCCTGTAACCCTTTATTTTTCCTAGGGGCTATGGCGGCACGGCACTCCTGCGTAGCTTGCTCAAAAATGAGCTGCTCAATGAGTGGCGTGGCCATATCAGTATCGCCAAAAATGCGTCCTGCTGCCTCAGTCATTCTTGCCACGAAATCTGAAAAAGGCTCCTGAGTCCCTTGTATAATCTTGGTGAGCGGAGTGCTCCTTCTCCCTTTTTTGACAAGGCTTTCCATGCTCTTATAGTTGTATCGACTACCTGGCGGTAGGCACCATAAGGATAGTTTGTCTGGGCAGTGGCAAAGGTCAGGAGGTCAGGAGGTCAAAGGTCCATTGTTGTTGTTCTGGAGTTAAGGCCTGAGCGTTATCTCTGACCTGTTCCTGGGTCACCTCATGCCACAGGGCTTTCCATTCCAAATATTGACCCATGCTGACGAGCGACGCTTTTGTAACTATCTCCCAGTCAGCCGGAGTCATGGCAGTCAAGGCCAACCTGTCCAATTGGGCTAAGGTAAAATTAGTAGTCATTTTATGTTTTTTGACTGACTCTGTTAACTCTTTTATTTGGTTGTACTCCATAGGTGCATGTACCCGCCCGTTCTCCGCTTCGTAAACGGGGAAGGCCAGGTGTAACTTTTTCTTGACCTTGTCAGGGATAAATGAAAAAGTCTTTGGCCCAAGGTGTTCCTCATAAGGAGGCCCCGGAGGGGCAGTTGGGGGAGGGCGCGGCTCATAAGGAGGCGGATGGGCCGTTTGAGATGACCTCATGGCCCTACCGCTGGAAGACCGTGCCCCATTATGGGGATATCTTTCCCTCTCATATCTAGCCGCTTCTTCTTCTAATTCTGCCTCCTCCTCTATATCTAGTTCTTCTACCTCTTCTCCCGAGCCAGAACTTTTGTGCTCACTTTCATGGTCACTTTCAATTTGCAGAGCTTCGAGCTCCTGCAGAGGATATAAACTGCTGTTTTTTCCTTTTTTCTTATTGTTGGTATCGGAAAGCTTTTGACCTTGTAGGTCAGTCTTCTCCCCCATTCTTATTTTCTTAGAACCACCGGGGGATCCTTTTTTCTTATCTGGGACTGTCCTTTTCTTGCGCGCGCCCAACCTCTCACTACGCTCAGTTTCTGATATGCTATCCTGGACTTCCTCCAATACATTTCGTCCCTCTGCAACAACCGCCTGGCAGGATTTATCTTCTAAGCAATTCCTGACGAGAAATAAGAGAACTGCTAAAAGAAGTACCAAGGCCTCTACGAAACCTTCCCAATGCGGAAACAAGTCAAGCCCAAAATCGAAAAGTCCAGGAATAGTCATACCTCTCTGAGCAAACAGACCTGTAGTTCTGAATCCTCCTTGTGTCCAAGGGGTCTCCGGCGGTGCGAGCAGTGGTCAGGGTTCCCCGGCGTCTCGGGTTTCGGCACCAGATATCCCGCGCTACCGTCTCGCCCACAAGAACGACGCGGGACACTTAGCATCCTTCTGCAGAAAAGCTTTAATGCATCTTGAGAGAGAGAGCATAAGCTTACATGGTGGAGACCCAGAATGAGGGAACCCATCCCTTATATAGGAAACAGTCCTCGCTTCGGGCGTGTCACTCTTGGATTGGTCCGCTGCCCATTATCCCAGATGATGCCTCGGGAGTAGGCAGGGACAGCAGTCGGAAGTTACCAAGCACATGTGTGTTATCTTGTTCACCTGGCAGTGAAACCGGATGCCAGCGCCACCTTGTGATGGAGAATGTGGTTGCAGTCCTCCACACAGGTCCTCTTCAAGAGTGCAAAGTGAGCTGGGAGGATGGTGGCGCACGCCTTTAATCCCAGCATTCAGGAGGCAGAGACAGGCGGATCTCTGTGAGTTAGAGGCCAGCCTGGTCTTCAAGAGCTAGTGCCAGAACAGGTTTCAAAGCTACAGAGAAACCCTGCCTTGGGGGAATAAAATGAAGAGTACAAAGTACCATTAACTGCTGACTCTTCTCTCTAGTACCCACCCCTTCTGAGACAGGTCTCATGTAGCCCAAGCTGATCTCAAATTCACTAGATAGTTGAGGACCTTAATTTTTTTATTCTTTCTACCTGCTGAGTGCTGGGATTACAGGCATGTTATCACCATGTATATACAATGCCAGGGATTCAATCTAGGGTTCATGAATCCTAGGCAAGCCCTCTTCCAACTGAGCTACATCCCCAGCCCACTATATGAATTACATCTCAAAAAAGTCATTAAACTGGGCCAGGCGATGGTGGCATGCTCCTTTAATCCCAGCACTCAGGAGGCAAAGGCAGGTGGATCTCTGTGAGTTCAAGGCCAACCTGGTCTACAAGAGCTAGTTTCAGAACAGGCTTCAAAGCTACAGAGAAACCCTGTCTCGAAAAACAAAACAAAACAAACAAACAAAAACCTCATTAAGCTGGAAACAGTCCTTACGTCCCTCAACACACAGGGAACAGGTTTTTTTGTGTGTTATTATTTATTTATTTTGTATACAATATTCTGTCTGTGTGTATGTCTGTAGGCCAGAAGAGGGCACCAGACCTCTATACAGATGGTTGTGAGCCACCATGTGGTTGCCGGGAATTGAACTCAGGACCTTTGGAAGAGCAGGCAGTGCTCTTAATCTCTGAGCCATCTCTCCAGCCCCCACACAGGGAACAGTTGAACAAATATCTAAACAATGGAACAGAGCACAGCCGTGTAGAGGAACTGTCTGAATATACAATGACGCAGATGAAGGTCATAAAGAACACATAGGGGAACCAACCGAGTGATAGTCACTGGCACAGATGAAATGAGGGAGGATGATGGGAAGGACACAGGCTTCTGTGGAGAGGCCCGCAGGGAGTTATTAGGACTCCTGAACTGTTGTCTGTCCCAGCCCTTCCTGTGGGAATCATGTGGGGTGTGAATTAGTGGAATCAGGTTAGCTGAACCTGTGGAGATCTTGGCTATTGTCTGGGTTTGAGATGGTGAGCTGATGTCTCCCTGGGAAAATCTGAAAAGAAGGACCAGGGGCTGGAGCTACCCTTTAAAGGACAGGCAAGGCAAAGGGGTTGGAGCCCAGGTGCTGCACTGCGGCATCATGGGTCAAAGCAAAACAAAAAACCCAAACCAACCAAACCAAAAAACAAACACCCTAAGCAAAAAAGTTTTATTCGGTTGTATACAAATCTCCAGAACATTGGTTGTTGCAAGCAACAGTGTAGTCATTAAAGTTCTGTGCTTCTTGGCAGCTGCTTAGCGAGCCAGTGAGGCCAGCGGAGGGTCCTGGCAGTGCCGGAGATGAAAACGTCTTGCTGGACGTACTTTGTTAGCACGCTGATCACTTTGTGATGAACTACTACTCACCACAAATGTCAAACTTATACAAACAGCATGGTTTCTAGGGAGGCAAAGAAAGCTGCCCTCTTGTGTTGTCAGAATACAGAGAAAGGGATGCTGCACTGTCTGCTCCGGGGCCCCTCCTGGCCAGCGCCTCCACAGGGGAGCATTTTTGAAACAGAAAAATTGTGTCTTCCCCAGTCACTTATTAAATTGTACTTTAGTCTGCTCAGATCCTCTGTCCTGAAGATTATCCATTTGTTGCTTGCCTATGGGAGTGCTCTTCCAAGTCCCTCAAACTCTGGTTGGGGGCGGGGCACCCCGCAGTCGTCTGTCCCAGGGCCTGCAACTCGAGGGTGGAGCCTCTTTGGAGCTGCCCAACTAGAGCCTGAGCCACGTTTTTTTTAGGGCTGGGCTGCTTGCAGACAGCGAGGCACGGCTCACAGAGAAGGACTTTGTGGTGAGTGGGGATCCCTAGGGGCCACGGGAGATGGGGATAGTGTCAGAGGCTGCTCCAGGATTTAGCAGAAGCATTCTTGTCAACCCAAGCAGGGCAGCTGTGTGGGAAGACTGAAGGGTGGGAACCGTCTCTCTGCTAGATAGGGCTTCAGGACACAGTTCCCACTACTGCTTTGAGGCCTCTGGGAGTGAGACAAGCAGCTCCCAAGCCCACAAGGATATTCATAACATGTCACCAAGCCCACAAGTTTGCTGCTGAGCCTCAGCCCTGCATACAAGTGGCCAAGAGCTGGAGGCCAAGGCAGAATTCTGCTGAGCCAAGGGCCACACTCTGAAGGTCAAACAGATGCTACTGCCAGCCCAAGGCCAGAGCACAAAGATCTGTACTCCCGGAGAGGACTGAGTCCTTCCTTGGCCCAGACATCAGGTAATTCTGACCAAGGTTCTGAGATGGCCCTACAAAGGTGCCTGAGAATGACACCAGCAGCCACCTTGTATGGACCTAGCTCCACATTTTAGTGATGGAACAGCAGACTGATTTGTGCCTGCTGGGAAGAGCTTGGGCCCTGGATAACAGACTCCTTCACCTCCAGCCCCACTCCCAGCATCAGCATGAGTGAACGCATGAACACCACTGAAATCTTCGAAGGCATCCGCTTCCCAGGGTTCATTCACACTCTGGAGTCCCTGAAAGCGGCCTGTGCTTTCCAGTTCCAGGACACAGACGTCCTCTTGGTGACATTCCCCAAGTCAGGTGAGAGACGGGGACTGGGCCAAGGAGCATGAGCAATGCAGGGAAGGGACATCAGTGTGACCTTCCACCCACAGGACCTCCCTCGTTCCCTTTCTTAGACCCCTACATCCCCATCATCACCCCGTCTCCTGTGATTCTGGTGTGAGCTGTAGGGTGTCCTTTTCCTGAGCACCAGCAGCCTCCCGCATACCATTGTCGGGGTCCCACCAACTTCTCTGGTCTTGCTACACTTGCGTGAACATGTTCTTGAGCCTGTGGGAAGATGCTGGCCATGATGTGGGGTGTGTGCACCTGGCTCTATCTGGGGTGCTCTTAGGCACGCGGTCTTTTGGGGACAAGCTTTGCCTTGCCCTGAGCCATGCTGAGGTGAATGGTGTCTGTCGCCCCACTGAAGTGTGTGGACGTGGGGACAGGAACCCTCTAATCACAGAACGATGCCTGCTTTCCCTTCATCCAATGTGGCTGGGGTGCCAGCATGGTTCTGCAAGACTCTGCACGACCGTCCTCTCCCTCTTGAATCCATAGAATAGGCACCCAAGGTAAGGATTCCAATCAGGGGTCGAGCTTGCCTTTGTCTCTTGGGGCCACAATGCCTATTAAGAGTAAGATCTGCCTCCTGTGACTTGGTCACCAGGGCCACTGGATGAGCAAACAGTTCAGCAGATAGGGCCAGCTGTCCCTCCTACACTTCACATTCCTGCCTCCTCTTCCTCTTACACAAGACCTGCATCCCATCCATCACACATAACTGTCCTACTTTGCAGCCACCTTGTTCCCTCCCCCACCCCCCCCCCCCGCCACTCCCTGGATCAGAGCCCTCCCTCCCTTCACATCTCACCACACCTACCCACCCAGGGACCTGGTCTGTGGGTCGGGCTGCCCTCGAGAAGGAATGCAGTGGATGGGCTGGGACCCATTAGGCTGTGCCTACAGCTCTCTCTCTAGCCTCCTGCAGGAGAGGGCAGCAGAGCTATGGGCCCTAAGTCCTGCCTGGGTGGGTCCTGGATCCAGAGGGTCAGTGTCCCTGTGTGGGGGCATGGGTGGGGAGGGGTCATCCCTCAATAACCATGTGAGCAGATCCCGATAGAGCAGGGCCTGGTCTGTAGTTGGCAAGAGACGTCGGTGGCCCTGCAGGCAGGTGGGAGGAAAGGGCCACAACTGCTCTGAAGAGCCTTTCCTGGCTTGCATTTGTTTAAACTGGCTCTGTCTGACTTGGGAAAAGGTGGTGGTAACCTTCCTCCCCATTCTGAAAGCTAGGGAAGCTAAGGGAGGGCCCTGTGGCCTCCCATTCCCTTCTAGGAGCCTAGGATTGGATATCTCTGAAGGGAACCCCAGAACAGGGTGACTGCTTGAGGGGAGAAGACCCTGCACAGCTCCCCAGAACACCCTCCTTTTTGCCCACGGCCTACGCGCCTTACAAATGTCTGAAGTACAGAAAGTCACAGCTCGGTGGAGTGTGTTTGCTTGATGTAGGTGAGGACCTAAGTGACGTTTTTTGTTTTGTTGTTTTTGTTTTCTAGACAGGGTTTCTCTGTGTAACAATCCTGGCTGTCCTAGAACTTGCTCTGTAGACCAGGGTGCCCTCGAACTCACAGATAGTCACCTGTCTCTGCCTCCCGAGTACTGGGAGTAAAGGCGTGCGCCACTACCACCCTATGTTTTAGTTACATTCTTAACAGAGAAGAACAGATTGGCTTTTTGAAAAGACCATTACCAAGGTTTGAATGTTCTGGAACATTCAGTTAAAAAATGGTAGTGAGCCAAGTGTGGTGTTACATACCTTTAATCCCAGAATTCTGCTGGCAGAGGATGGCAGATCTCTGTGAATTCAAGGCTAGCCTGGTCTACATACCAGTCAGAGCTACACAGAGCTACACAAAAAACAAATAAGCTGGGCAGTGGTGGTGCACGCCCTTAATCCCAGCACTCAAGAGGCAAAGGCAGGTGGATCTCTGTGAGTTCAAGTCCAGCTTAGTCTACAGAGTGAGTTCCAGGACAGTCAGGGCTATACAGAGAAAAACCTGTCTTGAAAAAACAAAAGAAAAACACACCGTATTTACCAGAACAATCTCTGAACTTCATAAACCAGCTGAAACTCTTTTGGCCTCATGTCACTCCTCTGCCTTGCTTGATGGAGTCACAGCAGCAGCATCCATACTGAGGAGGTCCCATGCCACGGTGCGGTGAGCGTCACTCTCATCCCAGAGTGGAGCATAAGGCTCAGAGACTGGAAAGGAGATGTGATGACAGAAGCGGGGGCAGACGGGAGGTGTGGAGAGGCTGCAGTGCTGCTTTTGGAGTTGGGAGAGACAGCGTGGAAGGAATATGGTAGCCCCAAGAAGCTGGGAAAGGAATGGTCACAAGGAAACATGGCCTCAGCTGCCAGCTCTGCTAGCACCCAGATTCCAGAAACAGAGTATGAGTTGCATTGTTGAAAGTCATTTGTGTGGTGATTGGTTGTTACATTTATTTATTTGTGTGTGTGTGTAATGTGATGTGTCCAAGCACACACTGCGGCACAGAGCCTGTATGGAGGTCAGATGACAGCTTTCAAGAGTCGGTCTTCTCTTTCCACCACGTAGGTACAATTTTTCAAATTACTGACAAACATAAATCACAGTGACAGAAACAGACAAACAGACAAACATTAAGACGAGCTCATTCTTACCTCCAACTGGGTACAGAATGGATCTGGGGGCGTCCCGATTCCCAGCCAATGCACCAAATGTTGGACCTTAAAGTCCAGTTACTGAGGAGGAGTCGCCCCATTCACGCTGCAGTTGTTGCAAAAGCAAGAGGAATTTTAATTGGCTGGTGGTCAGGGTTCCTCAGCCTCGGGAGGTGAAGGACCCTGAGTGGCTGTTACAGGCTACTTTTAAAGGAAAAAAACGCAGAAGCAAAGGGGGAGTCCAGGAGTTGTTTGTCAACTATTGTGAGAGGCTCGTTTAATGATCAGCTAACTATGATTGATCATTGCTATGGAGATTGCTGGGTTGGTTGAGCAAGGAGGAACATCTTCAGGTTGTTTTGCCCCAGTTCCAGGCACTGGGTCTATTCGGAAAAATACCTGGGAAAGTACCCAAAGCTCCAGTGCACGTGTGGGTGATTATCAGGTTCCTGGTTCCCAGGGGAGGAGGGGCAGTTATGCTGAGATGCCTCAAAAATGTCTGAGTCTTTCAGTTCCCACGGGAGTTTATCAGGCTTGCTGGCAAGGCTCTTTACCATTGGGCCATCTCACCAGTCCAGCTGGTGGTCATTTGCTACAGCAGCTATACCAGGGGGTCGAGGAAGACGCTTGACCACTGCCTCTGTGTCCAGAATCACACGCTACACTTAGCACCATACCAGTACAAGTCCCTTGCCGTTTGGAGTACATGGAGGCCTGAGCAGGTTACTGAGCGGACATTCAACTGCTCAGAATCGGGTCTTGCTTTGTCAGAGCACAGGGGGCCCTGTGTGTCTCTCTCACCCTTCTCAGAAAACCTGCTTTTGTGTCTACTCCTGATCAACATAGGAGCTGCTTGTGTACCCCAGGCTCCCAGAGGCTGACTGGCTCTGCACAATGAGACAACACCTAGCCCTCAGGAACACTCATACCTTCCTGCTCCAGAGGGCACAGAGCCAGCTGCGAAGCTCTGCCTGTCTTCATGAAAACAATGGATGGTGACACAAATGTGCCGCAAGGCAGGAAGGTGGGAATGCCAGCCTTCTCTGAAAGCCACTCCTGCCCAGCTTCTCTATGATTCCAGACCCTTTCAACGACACCTTTTACATCCATGTCTCCGATCTCCTCAATACAGTCAGGTCATTTCCCCATTATTTGTGATTGCAAACGAGATCATACTCAGTAGTGGTCTAAAAATATTAAAGGGAAGAGTCTAGAAATCACTAACTACTGTCTTAAATTGTGTGGTAAAAGCCTCACGCTGTCTGCTTCTTCCAGCCTAGAATGTGGATTGTCCAGTGTACCTATGATGTATATGGAACTGGTCCCATTGATCTCTTAGCGAAGTTCCCAGTTATCAAATCCATAGCTGCAGAATCCAATGCTTGTGTTCAAGTTGCCCTCAGTCCCAAAGGACGTGAGCAACGATGCTGTCCCATGCAGACAAAGAGGCCGAAGAGGGCTTTCTTCCCTGAAAACGTACAAGTTTTCAACCTAATGAGGAAAAGACAAGATCATCTTAGGTTGCGAAGGTTTATGAAAAAAAAAAAAAAAACAACGTGAAATTGTGAGGAAGGTAAAGAAATTCAAGCTGGTTTTGCTTTACCACAGAGTGAGGCCAACCTTGAGGCAACGTGGAAAAGGCACTGAAGTTGTACAGGTCCTGTGCTTGGTGGTGAGTGTCCCATGGACGGCGTCAGGATGGCTCCACTGCTCCCAGAACAAAGGGACAGAGCAGCCCTGGTGGGCCTGGGGAGCAAGCAGCAGTCCCCAGCCTGGGGCCAGATGAGACACAGCGAGAAAACAGACTCTAAATAGGTGGAAGAAATGGCTGCTCTCTGGGTGCTGTGGTGCACACCGTTAATCCCAGCACTTGTGAGGCAGAGGCAGTTAAATCTCTGATTTTGAGGCCAACCTGTTTTACAGAGTGAGTTCCAGGACAGTCGGGGCTGTTACACAGAGAAACCCTGTCTCGAACTGAACCACCCCCCCAAAAAAAGAGAAAAGAAACGGCTGATGGCAGAATGCTGTAATTAATCTTGATGTGTGATGTCTTATTTAAGGTTTTATTTATTTGTTTATTTTGAGAGAGAGTCTCTCTGTGCTGCTATGGCTGTACTGAAACTTCCTGTGTGTAGACCAGGCTGGCCTAGAACTCAGATATCCCTGGCCTCTGCTAGAATCAATGGCATGTGCTACCATGCCCCGATCCAAGGCATTTTTATAATAAATTTTATGAAAGAAAAAAATGTAAGGCTGGGAGAATGTGTTCCCATAACCTCTGTTACAGAGCAGTTTTTTTTTTCAAGGCAGGGTTTCTCAGTAACTATGGAACCAGTCCTGGAACTCACTCTGTCGACCAGGTTGGCCTTGAACTCACAAAGATTAGCCTGTCTCTGCCTCCTGAGTGCTGGGAGTAAAGGCATGTGCCACCACTGCCCGGCTCGATATTATTTTGGTTGTACTTTAGAAACGGCCACTGTATGAACATTATAAAGGAATTTGCCACTGGGCGTGGTGGGGCATGTGGATCTCTCTGCGTTTGAGTCACATCCGGTCTACATAGTGAGTTCCAGAACAGCTAGAGCTACAAAGTGAGACCCTATCTCAGAAACAACAACAGTGAAAGAGGACACTGCCTGTTTGTTTGCAATGTTCACACTTGGTTTATTCCTGTGTGGTGTGAAGATCTCCTGTCGCGTTTTACCAGACAGCTATCTGTTGACACAGAGGGGTTGTGCTGGACCGTAGCTCTGAACTTAGCTTTCCCGACCTTCCTTGTGTGTCTTACTGGGCTTCCTGTGGGAGCCACTCTTGTTCTCGAGCCTGGCTGCCATGGGTTTCTTTTCAGTATAATCAGCATCAATTTGTCTAACTCAGTGGAAACCTGAGGGTATTTTTATTGGAATTGTTTTTGATTTGCAGATTAGCGTGGAAGAACTGGTCTATTTATTTTGTCAAGACATCCTGTCTAAGGACAGAGGATTCTCCATCTGCCCAGTCCACCCCCTGTCTTCACAGAGGCGGGAACACTTCCCACAAAGCCTTTCCACATTCCTTCCTCTTGGTCTCAGTCCCTGCTATGGTAGGGCTTTCTCTGCTCTTTCGCCTCGAAGTTGCTACTGTGGGGGCATGAGGACAACTGATTTTCTTTTTTTTCTGAACTAAAAAAAAGTTTATTTGTGATTTTTTTATGTATGGGGTACTTTGTCTGCATGTTTGTCTTTATGATGCATGCATGCCTGGTGCCTGCAGAGGCTAAAAGAGGTTGTCACAGGCCTGGAATTGGAATTACAAACAGGTGTGAGCTTCCATATGGGTTCTGAGAATCAAATCCGCATCCTCTGAAAGCAGGATGCTTTAAGCAGCCAGTGCTCTTAACTACTGGGCTATTTCTCCAGTTCCAGGATTCTGATTTTTTTTTCCAAAGCATACCTTTTTCTTTTCTCTTTCTTTCTTTCCTTCTTTGCTTCTATGGAACAAGGACTGAAACCTAGGGTTTCATGATGCTAGGCCAGTGATCTGCCCTTGAGCCTATCCCCAACCCCAAACATGCTTTTTAGTGACAAGCTAAGGCTGGAAGACAGAAACTGATACAAAAAAAAAAAAAAAAAAAAAAAAAAAAAAGTGAGATGTGTGGAAGAGATTTTAGGTGCATGCTAGGAAAAGCCTTCATTGCCACAGCAGGCAATTTTGTAGTGAAAGCATAGAAAGAAAAGAGAAAGGAGCTGGAGTTTGGAGTTTGGCAATGGTAGAGTACTTGCTTAATTCATAAGTAGCCCTGGGTTCCACCTAAAGGACCCCAGGAAAGGGAGGAAGGGAGAAGACAGAAGGGGAAAAGGCCCAAGCTCTTTAGAAAACCCCTAAATTAAAGTTACCTAGTTGTGGCAGAGGACTGGAATACTCCTACAAGCACAGAATGTTAGCAGAAATAAAGACAATAAAAACTATACTAAAGGCCAGGTAGTGGTGGTGCAAGCCTTTAATTCCAGCACTCAGGAGGCCGAGGCGGGTAGAACGCTGTGAGTTCAAAGCCAGCCTCGTCTACCTAGTGAGTACCAGGACAGCCAGAGCTACACAGTGAGACCCTGTCTCAAAAAACAAATAAACACATTGATTAGGGTCTCAAATAGCAATAAGGACCACGTTATAGTGGCAGAGACTCAGCTGGCCAGGTTTGGGGTCTGTGGTCTGTGGAAGGTACAACAGTGAGAGTGGGAACTAGGCTTGCCTCAGAACCCTTGCCGTCCTGATTACACTGTTAACAAAGCACCTAATTCATCTGTTACTCTGAGGGGAAAAAAGAAAAACTGGAATGTCTTAGGCAGAAGTAGCCACACCCCCATTACCTGCCCCACTCCTGCTCCCTACCCCTTGTCCTGCAGGTACCACATGGATGCAGCAAGTGCTGAGCCTTATTTTCTGTGAGGGCCACCTGTGGCCTATCTACCACCTCCCCAACTGGTCCCGCATGCCTTGGATAGAGCAAGTCTCCTTTAGCAAACTCTTTCCTGAGCTTAGAAGTTCCTGGCCTCGTCTGTTCACCTCCCACCTGTCTGCCAAACTCCTGGCCCCAGCCCTGATGAAGTCCAAAGCCAAGGTAGGAGACAGGTGCCTTCACGTACCTCAGAGTTTGCGCAAGAGCCAAGGTGGAGTCAGGCTTTGGGGGTCAAAAGAGTCCAAAGGATTTAGTTCACTTTCAAGTCCTGGGGTGAAGGACATGGAATGTAGGAGGGTAGAATAAGCATCAGACCGGATGCTGGATTAGAGGCAGGAAGCTTCTGCCAGGCTAGTAGAATAGCCAAGCCAGATGGGGAGGATGGGGTGGGTCGGGTAGGTTCATTGTTCAGCTGTAGTGAATGTCAGAATCCTCCATCTTCACTAGTTAGTGGTTGACTCTGGGGAAGAGAGGTCCCTTCCTACCTTGGTGGCGGGGGTAGCTGATGAAACTCCAGTAGGTCTTGCAGACACAGGTCCAGGAGACCTGGAGATTGGCGGAACTTTGATAGGCAAGGACCACTTACCCTGTAGGGTGATGGTGGCCATCAGATGCCTGGAACCTGAGAGGGTGAATAACAATGCCCCCTGCAAGACAAAAAAATTTAA